AAAGATCCGTCCTGGACGGCACCTGACAGGGCCCCGGAGGCCGGGGAGGCAGGCAGTGTCAGCTCATGACGTGTGTGGCGGTGCTCGGAGACTCTGCTCCCAGTGCTCCCCCTGGCCCAGTGTTGGGAGGCTGCCCCAGTCTCTGAGTCCCGGGGACCTGCTTTGGACCAGTGCTTGAGCTGTCCTTGGGCAGTGAAGGACCCTGTGCAGAGCCCCCTGGACTCCCCCAGGGGGGCACCTGGGTTGTGGGTTGGGTCTTTGGGGACCATCCCAGGCACTGGGCACTTGGGCCCGCCCCTCCCCCAGCTTCTTTTCTCTGTGGAATGATTTCCTGCCGGGCGCCGTCCCCAGTGCCCTGTGGGCAGCTGATGCAGGTGGGCAGAGCCAGGAGTGACCCTGAGCATCGCCAGGTTGGCTCCAAACAACAAGAAGCACAGAAGCATCCTGTTCGCCACACAGTCTTGCTTCTTTGCCCCAGAGACAAATGCAGAAACCGGAAGCTGCACTTCAATTGCCTGAGTGCAGGGCCTGGTGCTGGTCACACCTTCTTGCCCCATCCTGCTTCTTACAGGCAAACCCGTCTCTGGACCCCAGGCCTCAGGCCCAGGCTCCTCCACACCCACCGCCCACACCAGGACTCTGCTCCTGTGGCTCCCTTGGACCCCGCCAGTTCTGGCCCTGCTCTGGGTCTGTCCTGTAGCTCCAGTGGGCCCTGCGGATTCTGGCCCTGCTCTGGGTCCGTGTCTCTGGCAGGCTCATTCCTTCTTTTCTTCTCTCTCTCTCTCTCTCTCTCTCTCTCTTGTGCACAAGGTGATGCTCAGGGCTTTGCACTCAGCATCACTTCTGGCAGGGCTCAGGGACCACCTGGGGTGTGAGGGCCCGAGGGCTGCTCCTGGCCTGCAGTAGGCGAGGATGTGACCTCCCAGCTGTGCTGGTCTCAGCCTCCACCCAACCCTGGCCGGGCTGTCTCAGGGCTCCGAGGCTGCTGCTGTCCTGCCTGTCTGTCTATGGGCCAGGACCTCTGCTCCCCAACTGCCCAGACTGCGGGCGGCACTCTGGCTGCCGTTTTGGGTTCGGGTGGTGGAAACCACCTGAGCCTGGACTTGTCCAGCAAACACCAGCAGGGCTGAGCACCGGGCCCAAGTCTGTCCTGCAGGTACCACAGACCACCAGCAGGGGGTGCCACAGGATCGCCTTTGCACCTTCCCCGCAGGCGCAGGCACCCCTGAGGTGGGCCTGGGAGACCGTGGTGGTCCCCAGGTCTCTGCCCAGAACCTTAGCGATCCTATTGGGACCTCTCTGCCCTGTGTCCACACCAGGGTCTCCGGGGCTGACCCTGCTCCTCCCTGGAGCCAAACCCCACCCAGGCCCTGGTCTCAGGCCCTGTGGGAGTCAGGACTGCCGGAGGTAGGGTGTACCTGAGCACCTGCTGGTTGGCCGGAACCCTGGGCAGTCAGAGGTACCCCCACGGGGCTGCGGCCTGACGCTCAGTCCAGACACTGTAGGTGACACTTTAAGGTCATTCCTTCAGGTGGGTGCGGGGGCAGGAGGGGAAGGCCCAGGCTCAGGCAGAAGCGGGAAGAGGCAGATCAGGCCCTGCGGGCTTTGGGGTGCCCATGTTCACCACACACACAGCCCAGCCTCTCTGGCCACGCAGCTGCAGGGCCCACGGGGTGCGTGGGGGCCCGAGAGGCCCAGGGGAGCAGAGTCAGCACTGTTGCGACTGCGGCGGGAGACAGACAGGCAGAGCCAGTGTCTGCCCGGTGCCAGCCAGAGTCCACGCCTGCCCGCAGAGGGCACAGTGCCACACAGGCTGCTGGGGCTGCAACGGGCGTGTGGGTGAGCTCACTCCAGGTTGGCCGATGGGCACCTGCCCCCTCGCCCCGTGTCCTGGACACCTGCTCCCTTCCCCTGTGTCCTGGATACATGTCCCCATGTCCCGTGTCCTGGGCAGCAGCTGGGCACCTGCCTCGTGCCGTCGGGCCCGCACTCTCCCTCCCTATGAGGACCCCACACTCTGCTGTCACCACCTGTATTGCTGTGTCCACACACAGGCACCCCCTGAGCCCCAGGACTCGGGACCCCGGGAGCAGGAGTTTAGGGGTATAGTGTGGACCCGGCCTCACGTGAGACCTGTTTTCTACGGGCCCAGCAGGTGAAGTGCAGAGAGGCCCCTCCCGGGTCAGTCCTGAGTGCTTGGGACCCACAGGCCTCACTTTCCCCGGAATCTGCAAGCCCTGTACCCTGTCCCAGCACCACCAAGTGGGCGACCACAGCCCTATACCCCTGTTCCTCTGGTGATCTGGGGGAGGAGGGTGGACAGCGTTTGTTCTGCATGCTGCCTAGCCGGCCCAGAACAGTGTGGGGGCTACGCTTCTTCTTGGCTGCCCCTCCCAGCTGTGGTCCTTCTGGGCCGTGTTGGATCTGGACAGCATCCCTGTCCATGGCCACTGGGGCTGGTCCCTGCTGGCCGGGAGTGTCCCCACTGAGCTTATCTTCCACACTGGGGTGGGGGCTGCCCAGTGCTCAGTGCCAGCACCTCCCAGGCACCGGGCCAGCTCCAGGGCTGTTGGCGCAGAGCCCGAGAACAGGATTCGGAAATACCAGCGTCAGCCCAGCAGACGGGCGGACCAGCCTCCCCATCAGGCCTTGAGCAGGAGGGCCTGGGCAGCTGTGCCTGGAGGTGTCTGCGGGGTGGGGGTGGGGCTGCTCCCCCATGCAGTGGCCCCCGCATCTCACAGTCCTTTCTGCCTCGTGACCCTTGGCCATCCTTAGGGACCACCAGCCTGCTCCCTCCTGCTCAGTGGTTCCTTGATGAGTGCCCGCACCTTGCCCTGGAGAGAACGGCCCCCCGCTGAGGGTACCTGCCTAGTCCAGGGGCGACAGGATAGGGGGAGATATGCCCCAAGCCCCCACGGGTGTGCTGAAGCCAGCCAGCTCTGCAGCCACTCCTGACCTGAGCCTGAGGTCAAAGGATTCCAAGTGGCCGCATCCTCCCCTGATTCTGGCAATAAAGGAGTGACGGGCATCGGGGCGCCCCCAGAGCCTGCAGTGACATGCGTGTGCAGTGGGTCGGACCGAAGGAGCACACGCACAAGTCATTCAAGATACTTTCTTGGGCCGGAACGAGAGGACAGCGGGGAGGGCACAGGAATGACTCTGGTTCGATGCTGGCACCATGTATGGCCCCCTGAGCCTACTGGGTGTGGGCCAAGAACAAACTAACAATCCCGAGTGTGCCCCTCTGCCCTCCTCCGCTGTTCTCTTCCCTTTCCCTCCCTCCCTCCTTCCTTCCTTCCTTCCTTCCTTCCTTCCTTCCTTCCTTCCTTCCTTCCTCTCCTTCTCTTCCTCCCTCCCTCTCCTTCCTCCCCTTCTTCCTCTTTCCTCCCACCCCCTTCCTTCCGATTTTCCCCCGCACTGCCAGGATCCCCTGCCTCCCTCCCTGCCCGCTGCCCTCTCTCTGCTCGGGCAGCAGCTCCGAGGAGGCCCAATTCTCCTCTCTCGGGATCTTCTCCCGAAGCCTTTTTATTTGACGTTTCCTAACCACAGTGTAGAACCAGAGCGTGAAAGACTCGAACCCGTGCCGGCTGAGGTGAGGCCAGCCCTGGGCATTGCGGTGGAGGAGGGGAGGGGCCAGCTCCAGCCCCATGCCCCTGCCCAGGAATCCCACAGGAATGCGTAGTCAGGGCCAGTGCCAGGGATGGGTGTGTGTGTGTGTGTGTGTGTGTGTGTGTGTGTGTGTGTGTGTGTGATACTTTCTAGAAGGCCCTAGAGAAAAACTTCCTGCACCCCGTGTGGAATGGGCCTGAGTGTCTGCAGAGGGCAGTGCCCTGCACCCTGAGCTGAGCACCCCGAGGAAGGGGGGCTGCAGGGCTGGGGGGGTGCTGTGGTGGGGTGGCGCTGAGTGGCCAGGCTCTGAGACCACAGCAGGAGGCCACCATCTGGCTGCCCAGAGGGCCCACGTGCAGGGCCTAGCTGAATTGGTGAAAAAATCTTAAAAATTTCTTTGAAAATAAACTTCTGTGTGTTTTGTTATTAGTAAATATTTGATTTTTGCACTTATGTAATATCTCCATCTACTTGGAGTCCTGAGCAGAAAGTTTAGAAACTATTTTTTTTAACTCCAACTACCCCAGGGGTTCACTCTGTGTGTGTGTGTGTGTGTACGTGCATGTGTGTAGTATGTGTGCGTGTATGTGGGGGGGGGCACGTGTGTGGTTTGTGCACCAGCGGAAAAGTACAGTTTGTGTGTGAAAGTGTGTGGATGGTCTGTGCACACACGTGTGGTGTGTGCGTGTGTGTGTTCACACACGTGATATGTGTGTATGTCTAAGCACATGTGTGAAGTGTGTGCATGTCTGTTCACATGCGTGTGGTGTGTGCATGTGTGGCGTGTGCGTGTGTGGGCGCATGTATGTGCACACGCAGCATTCACTCAGCTGTTCTCTGCCCCAAGGTGCACATGGGCCTGCGTGCGGTGGAGGGCACAGAGCAGAACCTGACTGTGACATGCTGTACACGCCCCCTCCACCCTCCTCCCGCACCCCAGGGAGCCATTGTCCCTCTCCTCCTGCCTTATGAAGGGGGTCCCTGGGGTGCTGGGTGAGCCTTCAGACATACCCTCACACCTGCCCTCACTCGCCCTTAAGATCAGGCCTGAGCCTCTGCCCCGAACCGCCCAACACCGCAGGGTCTGCAGAAGGGTCTCCAGCACCCTCCTGGCCGGGACTGGGGTGCAGGGCAGGGGCTCTCTGGGGCTGTGTCTGTGCCAGAGGGTCCCTGAATGCAAACAGTCCTCCAGTCCTGCTCTGAGACTGGGTCTTGCTGCTGCCCAGTCCTGCAGGACCAGCTGGTGTCTGGGCCTCAGGCTGGGGCCCCCGGGGCCGTGGGAAGTGGCTCCCAGCACCAGCACTCCTGGGACAGGAAGGTGGACACTGGCGTGGGGGCCTGGCCACACTCGGGTCCAGAGGGACGGGAGCTGCAGGGTGGGGTGGGGGGCGTCAGCACAGAGAGAACCTCCGGGAGTTGAGGTTCATCTTGGTGACACCGATGAGCTTGAGCGGGGCGGACAGGCTGAAGTGGGGGGCCGGCGGGCAGTCGCACAGGTCCGACAGCTCATCCCGCTCCTCCAGCTCCAGGGCCGCATCGTTCAGCATCCGCCGGTGCAGGTCGCACGCCTGCTCCACCTTCAGCTGGTGGATGTCGCCGCGCAGACGCATGAGCTGCCGCGCCAGCTGCTGGTCCTGCAGCCGCATCTCGGCCTGTGGGGGGAGGGGAGGTCACTCAGGCAGCCCGCCCGCTGGCCAGCCCCGCGGGACACCTCCGCAGGACACCAAACCCACCCAGCCCCTGTGGGAGAGAATGAGGGAGAGGTAAACACGGAGCAATCACATGGAGGGGAAGCAGCAGACACAGAACATTCCGGAGTCTGGGAGGCGTGAGGCACAAGTGTGTCCGGACACCTTCAGGTCACCTGCACGTTGGCACATACCAGACACGGTCGGTCGGCTGTCGGCACTGGGAGGCTGGGACAAGACCAGCAGGATTAACACTTTCCAGCAAGGGAAGTGCTCTGGTTGGATTCCCCGCACACAGAGACGCTCACCCTCCACGAGTTCCATGTAGGCACTCAGACACGCGCGCTGGGTCTGTCCGCGCCTGCTCCCCCCCGGCGGCCGCTGTTTGCTGAGCGCTTTGCCGAGTGGGTCCGCTGGAGGCCGCAGAGCAGAAGCTGCCCAACTGTCTTAGCTCCCTGTCTGCCCCCCGGCCCCCGCGACCTCCAGACCCCAGCTAGGAGCAGCCTGGCCACTGCCCTGTCCCCGAGACGCCCTGAGTTCCCTGCAGGATTCCTTAGCAGAGCTTCAGACCAAAGCTCCCGCCTCCCCCGGGGTCTGGGGTCAGAACCCCCCACCCCTGCTCTCCTTGTTTGCCCATGGACCTCACCCAGCAGTGCTCAGGGCTGACTCTGAGCTCTGTGCTTGGACTCAGATGGGGTCCCAGACATCCAACCTGGGTCAGCTTATGTGTATTATGTTCACGTGTGCATACATGAGCCCTTGTACACACATGCACAGGGTGAGGATGACAGGAAAGTGGGCCCCACCTGTCCTCTGTCCCCACCTGCTGCCCCCAGGTGGGACCAGATGCCCCCCAGGATGGCCTGGCGGGGTCTTCAGGCTGTGACTCCAGCTGTAGTGCTCTCACAGCTACAGGTGTGGAAAGGAAAGGTGTGGGCGGGCCGGAAGGGCGTGCCTCTTGCCCTGCATGAGTGAGGCCAGTGCACCCACCTGTCATATCCCCTCCACAGCCCCCACAGCCCCTGGCCACAGGCAGCACCACTGGGCCCTAGCACTGACCTTTCCTTCCTGGTTGGACAAGAACTGCCCCTGGCGTCCTGAGCACTGTCTGGAAGTCCGCTCCCAAGAGTACATCCTAACACGCGCCATAGCATGGACAAGCCAGGACCAAACAAACCTTCTGTGCTCAGCCCAGCTGTCCGGGGCGGGAAGTTCTAGAGCAAATGGTGGGGACCCCCTAACTGTGGTGTCCTGAATGGTCCTGGGATGCCCTGTCCTAGAGGCGGGGAAAGTGGACAGAGCCCAGTGGGCAGGGTCTTGCCTGGCCCGTGGCTATATGGGCCAGATTCCATCCCTGGCACCCCCATGCAGCCCTGAGCACCACAGGAATGATCCCTGGGTGCAAATAAAATTAAGAGTGGGGAGGCAGTCACTTGTCCTGTCCTAATATTGAGGAATGGTCCTGTGGGCTGAGGCCGTGGGGTGACCCTGACCCATCTGCCCAGAACCGGCTGCATTTCACCTCCAAAGTGTCACCTCCTGGGACTGGAACAATAGCACAGCGGGGAGGGCATTTGCCTTGCCCGTGGCTGACCCGGGTTTGATTCCCAGCATCCCATATGGTCCCCCGAGCACCGCCAGGAGTAATTCCTGAGTGCAGAGCCAGGAGAGTAACCCCTGAGCATTGCCGGGTGTAACCTAAAAAGAAAAAAAAAAGTCTCCTCCTGGGAAATTTCGCCAGGAGGAGCTGCCAGTGGTCCCAGGACAGGACCAGAGGGGAGGGAAGGCCTGGGTGTGGCCTCCAAGGGCGTAGAAGGGTTCTGGCTGGGGGAGTGGAGGGTGGAGGGCTCGGACCCCTAGCCGGGTGTCTCTGCCCCTGGGGATGTCGGGAGCACATGCCACTGGTCACGGTCCTTGCTCATTTGACCTGTGACTGCTGGGGTCCCTGATCCCCTGCCTCCTGGTCCCCTGGCCTGGCTGTATGCCACCCATCAGCATGTGAGAGGACGCAGACCCCGAGGACACAGACCCCAGACCCCCAGAGAGCCCCCGAGAGCCCCCCCGCTGCCCCTTTCCGGCCCCGCTCACGCTTGGTCCCCACAACCTCGTCTGTGGAAGCTCCTGCAGCCGGGCCTGGGGTGCAGCTTCTTGGGGAGTGGCTGTGTCTGGGGAGCCCTGTGGAGGGGGGGGCCTGGGGCTCCCGGTATGACGCCCGAGCTGCCGCACGCGGGAAGTGCAGGATCGGCGGCGCCAGGCTGGGCAGGCGGCCAGGTTGGCCCAGGACACCTGCCTAATCCCCCGTCTGGGCGGGCTCCCGCTCTCTCCCCGGGGCCTTTCTTCTTCCCGTCCCTCCACTTCGCTGCTTCCCTGTGCAGACCTGGGGGTCTCTCACAGCCCGGACAGCCGTACAGGGGGAATCCTGGGGCTGCCTCTACCCAGAAGGCACAGGTGCCCAGGGCCCAAGAGCGGCTGGCACCTGCCTGCAGCCCCTCACTCCCGACAAGGACAATGGCGCAGAGCAGTGGGCTCAAGGTCGGGCAGCAGGCCAGTGAGGCCACAGATGCTGCAGGGTCTCCTCTGCTCGTGTTGGACCCAAGTGACCTGGGAGCGACTCCTCTGGCCTCTCCCGGGGGACAAGGACACGGGGCGGCAATGACCGCGCACACACACACTTCCTTGGCAAGTCGACCCCCACGACCCCCCACGGAGCCTGGCCCCTGACTACAGCCAGTGAAGAGTACGTGTGCCTGGGCTGTCCCCACCCCCTTGCTCCGACCCACTGTCCGTCCTCGCCCTCCTCACCCCTTCCTTGGTGCTCATGCTCTGCCCCCTCTCAATCCCATGCCCAGCCCATCCTCATCCCATCTCAGGGCACAGTACTTATACACAGTCCCATGCTCAGTGCTCACACTCAGTACTTATACTCGCTCCTACACCCAGTACTCACAGCCATCCATACATGGTCGCCCCCGAGTCAGTGACCTGCTGTCCTGCTCTCCAGGTTGTGCTGAAGGGTGGTGGCAGGGGAGTCCCAGAGAGTGGCCTCACCCCAGGGCCCTTGCCCGGGTCATTCCACGGAATGAGAGTCAGGGTCCGGGGGTTATGGCGGGAGTTGGGGACCCCTTCAGAGCATGGACTCGTGCTCTCACGGGAGTGTGTGTGGTCAGTGCAGAGGAAGCCCGTGGGACCTCACGGCCTGGGGAGAGGCCCTGGGGAAGGCAGGAATGGGGAGACAGAGCTGGGGAGAGATAAAGATGAGACAGAGGGAGGCAGAGAGACAGAGAGACAGAGACAGAGAGACAGAGACAGAGACAGAGGCAGAGAAATGAGAAAGAGAGACAGAGACAAAGAGACAGAGACAGAGAGGCGAGACAAATAGAGAGGGACAGAGACAAAGGGAGGCAGAGAGATGAGACAGAGACAGAGAAACAGAGACAGAGAGAGACAGAGACAGATGAGACAGAAACAGAGAGAGACAGACAGAGACAGAGAGACACACGGAGACACAGATGCAGGCACAGAGGCAAGAACAGAGGCATCGAGAAGGAGGCGGGGTGGGGCAGCCCTGAGTCCACTCACCAGTTCCTTCCGAAGCCAGCCCAGGGCTTCGTCCACGCTCTGGAAGCCGGGCAGCCTGCTGGGGCCCAGGGCATGGGGCGGGCGAGGACTGCTGCCGCTCAGGGGGGTGCCCTGGATCCCCCGGGCCTGCCACTCCAGGTAGGAGGGCCTTCGCGTCTCCAGCCTCAGTTTCTCCGTGAGTGCCTTCAGGCTCTGCAGGTGGTCGTCCGCGGGCAGGGCTGCCCTGGCCACTCCCGACTCTTCACCGTCCATTTCCTCAACCCGGTCGTGGGACACGGACATCCTGTGGCCGGGCGGTGAGACTGTGCGGCCGATGAGGAGGACCCAGCCAGCGGAAGCGCCGGGCTCAGGGCTGCCTGGAGCCCCTGGTGCCCACAGGCAGGTGCTGACAAGTGCTGGCAGCTTCCGGGGGCGCCTGTGCCAAGAGGCTGGGAGACATGGAGGTGCAGGCGGGCGGGACGGCGGGAGACAGGCCCTGACGGCCTCCAGGCACGGCCCCGGCCAGCATCCCTGCAGGAAGGAGCCAGGGGTGAGCCTGCCCCGCCCTCCCCACAAAGGGGGAGACCGAGGCTGGGGCGGCCGGGAGCAGGGAAGAGCCGCGCTGCGTGACTTCCGTCCCAGGCCCCTGCTCCGAGACCCCCTCTGGGTCCCGAGACCCCCCTAGGCTCCACTTTCTGCCTCTGGAGCCAGAGACTCTAGCTGGCCCTGGGCCCAGCCTGTCCTCCCCACAGCATCACGCAGGGGCCTGTGGGGGACCCTGAGCCCACCCAGCCCTCCACAGCCCCCACCGCCTGGTGGGGCTGTGGCTTCCCTTCCAGAACCTTCTCCCAGGTATCCCAAAGGCCCACACCAGTGGCAAGTCTTTAGCATTGCCCTGTCCTGGTGCGGCCTCCTGCCTCAGGGTGCCAGGGGTCAGAATGGCCCCCAGACCATGGACCTAGATGTCTGGCTTGGACAGAGGAGGGAGCCTGGCCGCAGGAGTCTTGCCCATCTTTGGGGGGCAAGGAGAAAGTTCCGATGGAGCCTCCCAGGGGAACCCCAGATGTCTCAGCTGAAGAGAGGGGCCCCTCGGGGTGGAAGTGGGGGGAGAGGCTGAGAGCTTTTATCTGCTGTCCATGCCAGGAAGCCCTGCACGGGGGTCCCTGCCTGCTGGGGTGACCGGCCAGGGTGGGTGTCGGTGTCCAGCTGAGGAGTGGCAGACAGAAAGAGGTGCTGTTAGAAGTAGGGCATGGGGGTCCTGCCCTAGGAGTGAAGATGCTCAAGGAAGAACGGGCAAGATGTCTATTCTGGAGGCTTCTAGAAGGCTCTGAAAGTTTCTAAATGGTGAAGTCTGGCCAGCAGACATCTCACTGCCCTCCCTTGCACAGACCCAGAGCCTGCCTGGGATCCTCCAGCTTCCCACCTTCACAGAGCCGACTGCCAGGCTGCACCCCAGGGTCAGGCTCCGTTACCCGGGGGCCACCCCAGCTGGAGCCCTGCCAGGGCTGGTGAGCCCCGTGCATGTGTGGGAAGGCATGTGGGGGGACGCGTTCCCATGCGGGTCTCGCAGGTCTTTGTGCACAGACGTCTGGGGAAACCCCCCAGACTGGAGCCGCGAGGAGAAGCGGGTGCAGGGGGACCGTCCCTCAGCTGCAGCGGCTGGAACCGCTCGGGGCTGCACGGTCACGAGGCACTTGCGCTTTTTAGAAAATCTTAGTTTATTTGCTGATGTTGGTGTCGGGGGCTGGAACTTGGCAGCCCCCATATAGAGGGGTACCTTGTCCCCAGCACGCCCCAGCACTGGGGTGGGATTTCGGGGGCCTGGGGGCCATGGCCGGCAGCGCCCAGGGCCGAGGGTGAGCTGAGACAGGCTGAGGGTGCAGGATCTCCCCGCTCTCCATGGCAGGGACGTGGGTGCAGCCCTGGCAGACGAGCTCGACACTTGGGCTTCAGTCTGCCCTTGGCTCTCGGGGATGGAGACAGCCCCGGCCCGACTGCCCCTGGGCCCCGGAACCCCAGGAAGCCCCATGGCTCTGGCACCCGCAGGCACCCCAGCCACTGCCCAAACATGCCCACAGCCGAGGAGCTGGGCCAGAGTGAGCTCATCCCGCCCGCCCAGGGCCTGAAGTGATCTCATCTGTACCCCAATCACGGCCAAACCCACTTCCAGCTCCCCGGCTTCCCGGCAAGAGGGGCGGCTGCTGGCCCACTGTCCCCCTTTCCTCTCCCCCTTCTCCCCTCCCTTCCCTTCCCTCCTCTCCCCGACCTGGTGGGGCACAGTGTGGGCCTCAGAGGTGGCCAGTTAAGGATCCTCATCCCCTGACCTGCTGGAATGAGGAAGCAACACTCAGCCGTCCTGAACCCCGAAACTGTGGGCATGACCCAGCCCCACCCAGCCCCGGTCACCTTCCAGGAACTGGGCTTTTTTGCACCCCCAAAGGTGCACCCCACTACGCCCTGGGACTCTGCAAAGGCTGGGTGCAGGGGCCTGAAGGCCGAGTGCCTGGGGTGGGGGGTGGGGGACAAGGGGTCCTGTCCCCTTCCCGAGGAGGACTTTGTGGGGGAGGGGCCCAGGAGGTGCTGGGCACAAGGGAACCCTGGTTTCTCTTGCTCCTTTTCTTTCCTTCTTTCCCACAGCTCCATAAAGAAGAGACCACTTCAGGGCCAGGAAACTACTGACCACAGGGGTGGGCCACGCCTCAGCCTGACCATGGTGGGGCCACACCTCAGCCTGACCACAGGCCCCACGTGCCATCCCAAACTCCTCCTGCTCAGACCCCCCTGCCCGAGTCAAACACCCCCTCTAGGGCCCCCAGGGGGCCCTACAGTCACCCCAATTTCAACCTCAGGGCCCACTTCATATTTAAATCTCCCCTGGCCCCTCCTGAATTTCTAATGAGGAGGTGAGCACTGCCTCCCAAGCACCCCCTCCCACCAGGTTGCTCCCACTGGGGGCCCCCAGAGGACCCGCATCCTCCCAATGCCCTTGATCCCCAGGACTGGGGTAATTCCCTGGCAGCCCGCCCACTGGGGACCACACCCACCAGTCCCACAGAAATCAGGGTCTCCGGATGAGTGGTGAGGGGCATGAAGGGGTCCCCTCAACGCCAGCAGGGGGACACCCAGAGGGGTCGGAGAAGCAGGGGACAGGCTGGGTCCCGGGCATGTCCCTGTGGGTCTCTCCTCATGATCCGGGTGGTAGGAGTGGGTGGAGGGATGTCTCCGCTCCCCCTCATTCAAGTTACCATGGCAGCTACTGTGAGTGGCAAAGTGGGGCTTCAAAGTTGGGGACACTGGTGGGGGGATGCTAGGGAGGGTCATGAAGAGAGGGAGGGGTTGCACCTCAGTCCCACTACAAGGGGGTCCCAAAGCCTTTGCTCCCCCCCTCCCCCGCATGTTTGTGGGGAGAGTTTGCTGGGTCTCTAAAGCGGACCTGCTTCCGGTCTCCAGGGTGCAGAGGAGGTCCTGGTTCACCCCAGTTCCCTCAATGGAGGGGCAGGGCCGGGGGCACTGTGGAGCCCCCAGGCTGAAGTGCCACCTCAGGCCCTGCCTGCTGTCCCTGGGGTCCCCTGGGGCCATCCAGTGCCCCCCTGGCAGGAGCTTCTGGATGGAGGGGACCAACGAGCCTGGGCACTTTCCCTGCTCCTCCAGATCTAGAACCAGGAGCCCTCCCAGGAGGGAAGTGAGACCCCAGGAAGGGGATGGGTGGGAGGGGACGCTCTTCTCCTTGGGGGCGGCTCTCAAGGGGGCCCCCAGAGGTGCTCAGGCCCACCACCTGCTGAGTGCGGACCCGGGCACCCAGCGCTGCCCCGCGCGCCCCAGCCCCGCCCTGTACCCCCAGACTCCGTGCGCTCAGCTCTGCCCCTGCGCCCCCAGAACCAGCGCGCCCAGACCTCGCGCGCCCCAGCCCTGCCCTGCGCCCCCAGACCCCGCGCACCCCCAGCCCTATCCCTGCGCCCCCAGACCCCGCGCACCCCCAGCCCTATCCCTGCGCCCCCAGACTTCACGGGCCCCCAGACCCCGCGCGTTCTCAGCCCTTCCCCGCGCGCCCAGACCCCGCGCGCCGCCCAGACCCTGCGCGGCCCCAGACCTGCCCCGCGGCCTCCACTGGTCCCCACTGCCCCCCACTGCCCGCGGTTGTCCCCCACTGCTCCCACTTGCCCCTACTTGCCCCCACTGGCCCCCAGCGGCGCCCCCGCGCCCAGGACGCGCGGTGCGCGGGACCCACCTGGAGAGCGCCGGGAGCCGCCGGCCCTGCCCTTCCCGGGACTTTTTCTTTCTTTCTCTCCGGGTTGCGTCAGGCGGTCGCCTGGAGACCGCGGTCCAGCCCAGAGCCCCCAGCCCCGTCCAGCCGGCGCGCCGGGTCCTAAAGCCCGTCCGGTGCCCGGTGCCCCGGCTGTGCCAGCCCTGAAAACTGACCCGGACCGAGTTCCTGCCCCAGTCCGGTCTCTCGGCAGGGCGCCCGCCGGGAGGGGCAGGGGCATCCCGGGGACGGCCCAGAGCACCCCAGCCCTCCAGGACCAGCGATGGGACTTGCGGGGAGGGAGCATGACCGCCAGTCCCTGCCCTGACCCGCTCTGTCCAGGCCCTGGGGGCGGGGGTGGGGGGGGGGAGCGGCGAGCAGGGGCGCCCCAGCCAGCGTGGGAGGAAACGGAGGGCCCTGGAGGCCTGGCAGAGCCCAGATTAAGTGGACAGATGTTCTAGGCACAGCTCGGCGGGACCGGAGGACATCACCCGCTGAGCACCGTGATGTCCAACAGGACAGCTCAGGTCTGGGTCCAGACCCTGGTGCCAGGCCTTCTCCTCTGAGGGACCAGGACTGAGGAGGGGGTGTAATCCAGCTCCCCCCCACCTCTTTCTTTTATTTCAGGATCACGACCATCCTGTAATTCGTCTATGGCCTCGAGCAGGCCCCAGTGACGTCTCCTTCATCCTAGCCCTGAGATTTTTTAAAAAGTGCCGTATTCAAGGCTCTTTCAGCGTTAGAATGAGACCCATCATTGTTACTGGTATTTGGCATATTGGGTACGCCATGGGGAGTTTGCCAGACTCTGCCATGTGGGCAGGTTACATTCGGTAGCCTGCCAGTTTGTCCAGTTTTTCTTTTATTTATTTATTTATTTATTTATTTATTTATTATTTTGGGCTGGAGTGATAGCATAGAGGGTAGGGCTTTTGCCTTGCTTGTGGCTGACCCGGGTTCCATACCTCCATCCCTCTTGAAGAACCCTGCGAGCTAGGGAGAATATCCCGCCCGCCTACACCCCCTGGGCAGAGACTGGCAAGCTCCCTGCGGCATATTCGAT